CTATTCCTGTTGTTTATAATTTGTACAATTAACCTCCTTATGGTTCGACCCCGGTCTTACCAGATTATTTATTACTTTGACACTCTTGCACTTGAGAGAAAATTTCAATCTTTTAGTCGTGTCACTCGATTATTTCTTTTATTATGATTAATTACCAATACATTTATTTTATGTTTTTTTGGTCATATATATATATATATATATATATATATATGTTCCTTAAACAAACTACTACACTTGCATGCAACTGGAATATATTGTTTACAACTACATTTTACAATTGATATTCAAACCTATTCTTGAAGGTGGGTATTTTTTTCTTTATAATTTTCTCCTGTTTTGCATTAACTCATGTTTGATGCTATTTTGTATGTTTGATTAGTTTATTAACATGGGTTTTGTTTGCTCTAAAATGGGTTCACTTTTTTTTGGCTTTATGCTTGGATTTAGCTGCTACTTTTTTATTTGCTTTTTTTATATAGTTGGAAGGAAGTGGAATATTTTGTTTTGTAAGGATTGAATTAGAGTGTTGTATAATTGATGAATATTTTCTTTATTTTCTTTTATATATATATTTTGTTTTTTAAATAGAGGCATTTATATATATTTTGTTTTTTAAATAGAGGCATAGATAATCATCTTGTTTATAAGGGACAGTCTTAAATTGTGTATTAAGTTTGATTTGTCAAAAACAATGTTAATTACAAGTTTGTAACTAGGTAACCTGGTTAGGATTGAATCAAATGAGAAACAAATTGCAAGAAATTTAAGCATTTCTCTTGAATAAAAAAAGTCTAATGCCCCAATCCTTTTAGAACTTTAGTAATTGATCTTTACTATATCACTTTGTTGCTAGCCTTTCTATAATTTCTTCATACTTTTAGTTTGCATTTTAAAAGGGGAAATAAGACACTATAAAAGGTATTTGATAATGAAATGGAACTCAATTTCACTTTAAAAAATTAATGGGAAGAATTGGTGTTCCAATAATAACCCTAACAAATGGATAAGGTAGTAAGGTTCAAATTTTGAAATCCAAATACTAGAAAACTAGGGAAAGAACATAGAAAGGACATTACTGAGTTAAGTGTCCTTGCATCTTTTAAATGAGTAGTGGTGGTGTAGAGTCTTGTTGTACAAAAGCTAGTTGTCCCACTAAACATTTTTACAATAAGCAAGCATGTGATATGACTTTATTCATCTTTATACTTGCCCTTAAAAACCTGATGTTTTTGTTTTGCTTTGTCCTACAAATTATTAAGATTACTTGTTAATTATGTTCGAAGAAGTGTTTTGGCCAAAGAAATGTATTAAAATTGGTCCAAATCATGTAGTTAAGGCAATGTTCTTGAGAAGAACACGAAAAATCCACCATAAACTGACATGAAACCCAACATAGACTAGATGTGGTAAAAACAAAAATACATACATGTTAGAAATCATGCAACGAACTATAATCTAGCATTCAATCACGTTAATTTTCACTTAAAGTGCACAATTTTATCAAAATAGATTTTGTTTTAAAACTTAAACCCAATGATTAAAATCTATTATAACTATGTTATTAATGCAAATAAATACTAGATTATTTATTAATCATGTCCAAAGAAGTGTTCTAGACAAAATAAATGGATCAAAAGTGGTCCAAATCAAAGGATTAAAACAATGTAATAATAATAATAATTAAATCTATAATATTTAAATTAAAATCCCCAATATGAATATATGTCCTTTAAAGTAATTTCATTTTCAAATCTCAATACGAGAAGCGTATTAACCAAACATTTATATTATTTTTTGTTTAATTTCAATTTCAATCACAGCTGTAACCAAACACTTAAATTTATAAAACAAACCTCAACTAAAAGTGATTTTTATAAAACTATTTTTTTAAAATCACAATCACAAAAGCTATTACAATACTAAACACACTCCTTGTGTGTGTTTGTTTTTGCTGTTGTGTTTGCTCTTAATGATGAGCCCACCACTAAAAGCAAACACAATAATAAAAACCTGATTTTTATAGTTTTGATCTTGTTTTTATAGTGACGAGGGTTATACCTCCACAACAAACACAAAATCAACCACCAAAAGAAACAAACACTTTATTTTTTAATTGCACATCAGTTGTTGTGCAAGAACATTATTGAAGTGATTAGTGTTGAAGGAATGGAGAATTTGTTCTAAAAAAAATATAATTTTAAAAGATTAAATGGTTTTCTTAATAATAAAGATATTGTAGAGTTCTTTAACAATATTAAGCATATTAACTTGATGTATATTATAGAATGTATAGCATGTATTTATCAAAATAGGAAATTAATATAGAATTATTTCAATGTTGTAATCCCTACAATTATTGCAGTGTTCTACGTAATTCCTACAATTATTGCAGTGTTCTATTACATATATATAAATAAAAAGGTTGACTAACAGTGTTCTACTACATATATATAAATAAAAAGGTTGACTAAGGGACAACATAACACATTCTATTATTTTTAACTATGTATTTCAAAAACAAAATTCTAAATGTAAAATAAAATTAATTAACACCAATTAAATAAAAAGGTTAACTAAGACACAACCTAACACGTTCTATTATTCTTAACTATGTATTTCAAAAACAAAATTCTAAATGTAAAATAAAATTAATTAACACCAATTATATACAAGGGCAAAATAAACATGGCTAGCAATCTTGTGCGTCTTGTCTTTTTCAATATATTTTTGGTATTGTGGTATTTTTTGTGTTTATGGTTTAAAAAGAAATATAGATTTAAGAAAAATATTTTTAGTTGTAATTTTAAAAAGTAAGTTTTAAAAATATACTTTTAGTTAAAATTGTTGTGCGGTGAGTTTTTACATGTAAAATAAATAAAAAGCAAATTACTTTACTTCTTACAATATAAAAATTTGAAAAGTAATTATGTGTGGGGCAATACAAAAAAAAGTTACTTACCTAACCAAACAGTCTTTTGTTTATAGTTAAGTAATAAACAGAAGCTGCTACAATACTAAAATTAATATTGTGTATTAATCATAAAATACTGACAATGCTCATTCTTCAAGCTAATCCAAAGAACAAAATTTTAATGAAGCCCCATCCTATTGCTCGCAAATATTAGTCAGTAGAATCCAAACTCAGCAAGGTGAAATGAATATGGTGTTACTTCAAAATTCACAGAGCAAATTGTAATTTCATTGAAGCCTGCATTAATTCACAGAAAACATCTAAGCACACCTTAAGAACAATTCAAGTTAAGCTTGTCTATCGGGTACTGCACATTCCCTTCACGTTACCCTCTTATGGCTTCTCGCAAACAAAATGCATCATGTCAGATGGATGAATTTATACATCATCAGCAAGGTTTATTCACTTTTTATACACAATACTTGCATTATTAATTAATATGGACTGTTTATGGATTAATTTATATAAAAACTAAATCAGTTTTTTATTTTAGCTACCATAACCTAATTTTAGACTCCAAATTGTTATAACAAGTGATAATTTTCTTTGTTATTACAAAAGTCTAAACAAATCAAAAATCAAAAATAATTTCGGAAGAGTTAATAAAGTTAAAGGACCTGATTAAAATTATAACATGTTTTTGGATTCAATCAGAACTCAATTAAAAAAAATCAAGTATGCAGGCTTAATTCAAATCAATTAGCAAAGATTGAAAGATTAGAAACATAATTGAAACTTTAAAAGGTTAATTTGGTGCAATTAAGAGCTTAATTGAAAGCAATTTGAAGTATGAGGTTCAATTGAGAACCATACTAGAGAAATCCAAAATCAATGACTACTTTGTAAAAAACATTAAAATTTAAGGGTACAATTGAAAAGGGTTAAAAATTAAATTGCAAGGAATTCAAATAATTACGGCTAATTAGAGGTTCATTGCAAAGTGTCAAAAGCTAAAGAATTAAATTGAGAAAAACCACAATTGTTTTCTTTATTTTCTTCTCCTAAAACATAAGAAAAATAAATGTTCAAGTGCCCACCGACTTAATTTCACAAGCTTTATCCTCTTAGTCCAGCACCACATCCTACATCTTCAGCTCCTCTTTTCATGGTAGCTACAAATATTTTTGATCATCTTGCCATTAATTTTCAATTCCTCACTTTTTTTTTAATTTCTTATATTTAATATTTAAAATTATGATTTATATTTGAGTCGCTTTTTCAATGTTAAATAATTCGGTTTTTTTCCATAAAAAAATAATAAAAATATTTCTTTAAAAAATATAACTTTTTATTTTAATTTATATATAGTCAAGTCTTTTAAAAATAAATTATAATTGCATATTTTATCATATTAAAAAATATTAAAAAATAATCGTTTTATTTTGTATATATTTTTTAATTTAATAACTAATTTATTAAAGTTATGAGAACTTAGTCTATATTTTAAAAACATCAAAAATTTTATTTTGTTTTCTATTGGTATCCAAGCTTATGAACTTATATGTAAGATGTATTCTTAATATTAAATAAAAAATATTTTAATTTATTTTTATGTTTTGACATGAGAACGGTTATGGTTTAAAGATCTTTTTACTGAGAAAAATATTTTTTAAACCTTAAACATAATAACAACTAAACAACATAAAAATATTTTAATTTATATCAGATAAATAAATAATACAATTTAATTTAAATAAGATTTACTAGAAGTTATATGCTCTTTTTATATACAACTAATTCTTTTATTCAGGCTCTAAAAATAATTAGGATTTATAATAACTATACTATGTGACAATATTTATATTTAACTGATAAAAAATAAAAACTTTCTTTCTCTTTTTTTTCCCATCATCAGATAGAGATCCTGCTTCTAAAAAATGATCACTACAATGCCAATAACCTCAAATCTGTTGCATATATAATTAGATTTATATCCAGCAACAAATTAACAAGATTATATATGTTCGTTGTGTGGGCAAATGTACAAAGAATTTGAAGTTAAATCTCTAAACCTAAACCTAACATATATATACACACACACACACACATGTGTGTGTGAATTACTAAAATGTTGGCCGATGATATAAAAATAAAATGACAGGAGCCTGCTTAATACCTAACAATGAAAAAAAACCGTATTTTTGGCATAAAAAGCTTATGAGAAAATGTCCTTGTTGTAAATTAATAAAAATAGCATATATAAAAACCAGAATACCATGTATAACCACAGAAACGTAGATATAGCTAGACTCCATGCAATAGTTCTTGGACCCACATTTCAACTGTGCTAGTATCTCCATAATCTTCCACCCTGCTTGTTTGACCTTCAGTTGAAAATTGCGGATCCCATAAACATTGTTCTCCATTTGATTCAAGTAATCCAACGTTCTCTTCTATGATCTGATTTTCATTAATTATGAGATCATTCACAAGATTAAAGCTTGAAGAAAAATAACTGATAGGCAGCTTCGGTGAGCCCTCCAAGTCTTCTGGCTTCAATATTTTTGGAGCAGTGGGAAGTCGACCGTCAATTTCAGATAATTTCCATTTCTTGAATTCTACAGTGGATGTTTGTGCTCCTTGCAGTTTCGGTGCTTGCGCTGCAGTATTGATATTGTTCTTTACGTAATTTTTCTTCAAGCGGGTGTTCCAGAAATTTTTTATCTCATTATCTGTTCTTCCAGGTAATTTTGCTGCAATTGCAGACCATCTGAGACAGGTGAAAGAAAGTAAAATCATTGAACTTGTGTGGAAGGTCTGAATTATTGTTCTTCCTGGTGATCAAGAAAATAAAAACCTTGAAATACATCATACTTGTAATTCGTAGTAAATTTAAAAAAGCCGTTAGTAGCGAGGTGAGAATTTTGTAGTAGCTCGACTATACAATTGAGTAATATTCAGGGAAGCCCCCTGTCTATAGGGTTGTTGGATCAACAGTAATTATCTCAACACTCAGAAGGTGGAGGAACTTTGTCTTCAAAAAGAGCACATCCCATGGCTGTGAGAGATTGAACCTCTAGTTACCCACCTTAAATATCATCTTTAAGCAGTGCAGAAAATAAGTGATATTAAAAAATATTAAAAAATATTTTAACTTAATAGTTTAAATTGTAAGATGAGATTTTAATATTATGTCAAATTAATATTTTAATTCAATAACTTAAATTGTAAGATGAGTTTTCAAAATATAATTTATATTATTTTTTAGAAAAGCTTGGAAAATAAAAATAAAAAAATAAAAAAATAAACTAAAAAAAAACACCCGAACTTTCAGTTTAAATACAATATTATTTCAACTAGAAAACTAAAAAAACTAGGTTTATAGTTTTCCATATTTGCACTGGTTTGAAAAACACATTTTATAGAATCCTCAGTTTTTCAATATAAGTTTTTCATTGTTTGTCAAATTAGGATAAAAAAGTGTCCAATAATTTTTTTAATAAAATATTGGTTAGTTTTCAATTTAATCTCTATAGGTACTTGTGAATGATTATTGTGATATTGCATGAAATCATGCATCTAACTTGTCATGTGTTTAATAATTGTTAAAGGGGAACTAGGTAAGTGGAACTTGTGAAATAGATCACCCAAGATGAAGCAGTAAGAAATGGAGTTTGAGGAACAAATCTTGCCCTAACGAAGAATATCCATATTTTAGAGTACTTGATTTACCTATTTCCAAGAATCTCATGCAGCTTGAGTATGGTTTCCACTTCTTCCATGCTGAAGTTTCCACGTTTTATATCCGGCCTCAAGTAGTTCATCCAACGTAGCCTGCAACTCTTCCCTGACCTTAACAAACCTAAGAGAAATCGGAGAACAAAGCAATGAAACCTCACTGTCGCCCCTTTCTTTGGTGAAATATTTGACATTCAACTGAAGATGAGTACTAATTGTTCCTTACCGGCAGCTTTCGGCATCTCAATCCAATTCCGAATGCCATGTCTGTTAATATAAGCTATCAACTTCTGATCTTCTTCAGGACTCCATGCCCCTCTTTTCAAAGGCAGATTCTGAGAGTTGTGTGCAATCTTTCCCATCCTCGCCAGCTTGATGCATGTAAAATCCATGTCTATCTGGATTACCAGTAGTTCCAGTTGATTAATTCTTAACTTCAATTTAATATAACACCTGCCGGCAGGAGTCAAGTCATTGCCCCATATATTTATATATATTTTCCAGTGGGAAAACGTGTTTCAAAGTTCAAGATTTCCAAAGTATTCACGGACTAAGGCTATGTTTGTTTCCCTGAAAACAGTTTCTGGGAAACCACTTTCCAAACTTTTCTGTGTTTGTTTGTCATTAGGAAAGTTGGTCAACAAAAAATATTTTCCGGTCAACAAAAAACACTTTCCAGTCAACGGAAAACACTTTCTGGTCAACGAAAATATTTTTTAGTCAAAAAAAAATTTTTGCTTAATTTTCAGGAAAGTGTTTTCCTTTTTAGCTGTGTTTGTTTTCCGGAAAGTGGTTTCCGGGAAAACACTTTTCAAACTTTCTTGTGTTTGTTTTGCAGAAAGTGATTTCTGGGAAATCACTTTCCAAACTTTCTTGTGTTTGTTTGCTGTTAGGAAAGTTGATAAA